TAGTCGACATCGATGGTCTCGATGATGATGTTGCAAATTTTTCCCATAGACGCGTTATCGTACGCTGGTACAATGATCTCTGGCAAGCGGATGTGATAGAGATGCGTCCGTATTTGCGCTTCAACAGAGACTACATACTTACGGTTATCGATGTGCTGAGCAAGTACGCGTGGGCCATACCGCTTAAGAGTAAGAGTGGATGCACAATTGCCAAAAGATTTGCAGGAATATTTCGGAATAAAAAACGATGTCCAAACAATTTGCAAACTGACTATGGAAAGAAATTCTACAATATAGATGTACAAACACTGATGAAGAAGCGTAACATTAATCATCCTTTTCCCAGTATCTACCTTCTTTCATCTCGTTCCCCAACCAAAACCTAACCACTTTCTGACAACTGCTTTTTCCCCACTCCTTTATTAAATACCCCGGTACTCCTTCCTTCTTCATCCTCCCGTACCATCTATTGTATATATACTTCGAACTTTCAATCTTTTTCCATCTCTCCTCACTCTGCATCCTCTTCTCCTTCTCTATCAACAACTGAGCTCTCCATTCTCTTGCCTCTCTACTTTCCCCCATCTTCGCTATCTTCACTCCTCTCTCCTCATAATATTTTATCTTATTCTCCCACTCAGACATCCACACCTCCCTTTTTGCCCCTAATCTCTTTTAAGCATAGCCTCGCTATTTCGCTACCCTCTCCTCTTTCCAACCTTTCCTCAAATCTTCAGGCCCTTTGTCCCGCCCTTCCTCTTAATAAATCCCTTTGCACTTCTTCCCTTACGATATACCTCGGTGTCCTCCAATCTCACAATAACCACCTTATATATCTATTTTGTAACCTTTCTAAGGTATCCCATTCTTTCCATCCCCATATCTGCACACCATATCCAACCACTGACCAAACCAATACGTCAAACAACCATAACCTTCTACCCCAATCCCCATCGAACTTCCTCTTCCCAATCCCCCACACCTGACTCATAATAGCCGCCTCTTTTCTCACTCTCTCTTTTATCTGCGCCTCACTTCCCTCGTTTCTTTAAAACACATACCCTAAATGTTTCAATTCCCTCACCTCCTCCAATCTCTCCCTTTTCCACCACCATTCCAGTTTTTTCTTCCTTCCCCCTCCCTTCCTAAACCTCATCACTTTTGATTTATTTACGTTGACTTCCAAACTCTTTCCCGCCAGATATTTCTCCATCCCTCTCATCATTCCCCTCATCCCTTCCTCCTCCTCCGTTAACAGCACCAAATCATTTGCATACGCCAATACATAAACTCTTCTTCCTCCTACCCTCACCCCACCCCATCCGTTCCTATCCAAATAGTCCTCCATATCCGCCATTAACAGATTGAACAGATACGGGCTCAAAGGGCATCCCTGCCTCACCTCCCTACCTGTCCAAAATTCATTCTTCACTTCCCCCCTGCCGTTACCCTGTTCCTCGTCTCCCTATATAAGTCCCCACATCTTCCCACTAATCTCTCCCTCACCCCTCTCTTCCTCATCGCTCTTAGTAAAGTCTCCCTATTGACCGTGTCGAAAGCCGCCTTCAAATCTATAAATAATGCAATCAACCCACCTCCTTTCCTACTTAAATTTCTGCTCACCAGGTAATTACCACATAAATGTTATCCATCGTACCTCTTCCTCTCCTAAACCCCGCCTGGCTCTTCGGAACTAAATTCTTTCCCTCCACCTCTTCCCTTAACTTTTCTGGTAACACCTCCGCATACACTTTATACAATGGCCAATGTCACACCCCTATATTTCTCTACTTTATTTTCTTCTCTTTTTTTCAGCACTGGCACTATTATCCCCTCATTCCACTCATCGATCCACCCCTAATCCTGCCCAAATTCTCCTACATATGTTCCACACCCAGTCCTGCATATTTTTTTCTCCAAACTCCCATACTTCTGCTATCCCCCTCCTGGTGCCTTCCCTCAATTTTCCAATCGCCCTTATAATTTCCTCCCTTCCAATATCCTTTTCTCCCTCCTCCTTCTTTCCCCTTTCCCCTCTCACCACTTTCCAGTCCACCCTCCCCAATTGCGTCTTAAAATAATCCTCCCACTCTCCTATCTCAATCCCTCCTCTCTTTCTTCTTGTTTCTTTATTCACCACTTTCCACATTTGCCCCATCGTTTTTGTTTTTTTCACCACCTCCCAAGCTATGTGTTTTTCCTCCCTTTTCTTATTACACATCGCTTTATACTCTTTTTTTCTTTCCTTATATTCCTCCTTACACCCTCTTCCCTCTCTCCACCTTCTTAACTCCCTTTTTACATTCTTCTTTTCCTTCTTACATTCTTCATCCCACCATCCCTTTTTCCCACTTCCTACTTTCTTTACCTCCTTTTCTCCTAACACAGTTCTTATTCTCTTTTTCATGCTCTCCCATTCCTCTTCAATCTCCGTTTTTTCATCCCTCATCTCCTTCCGCATCTCCTCCGTCCATTTTCTTTTTTCTTCTTCCGACTATATTATCCTTTTTATTCCATTCCTCCTTCTATCCCTTTCTCTGTTCCCAGTCTTTACTCTTTTTCCACTTCTAATCCAGATCACCGGATGATAATCCAAATCCACTTAATCCCCTATTTCCATTTTCTCCACATATTCTTTTGTGCTTACTTCCCTTACCACATAGTCAATCACTGACTCCCTTCTTTAACCCGTGTATGTCCATTCCCCCTCCTCGTCTCCTTTTGTGTCCCCGTTCCATATTACCCAGCCCAGTTCCTCAGTCGTCTCCAACAATAATCTTCCCTCCGCGTTCACTTTCTTATCCTTCGACCTCCTACTCCCTTCCTCCTCCTCCTTTCCTTCTCTCTTCATTTCTCCACCCTTTTCTCCTGTTCTCGCATTAAAATCCCCCCCACTATTGTCCTCATTTTTCCATTTTTCCCCTCCATTCACTCTCTTAACTCTTCTAATTTTTTCTCCATCCCCCAGGTTATATACACCCCCACAATCTTCCACCATTTTCCCCCTATTCTCACTCTTCTCACCATTACCCCATCCCTTCCTTCCCATCCCTTCTCCTCTCTTGCCTCTAGCCCCTTCTTTCCTTTCAGCAACATCCCCCCCATAGCCCTACCTTTCCTTTTTTTTTTCTACCCGCCCACTGTACCTCCCAACTAAAATTTTTCGGCAGTTTCCCAGTAATCCCCGCCAATTTTTTTTTGTCCACCCAAGTTTCCGTCAGAAACGGGTGATACTCCATTGACCACAGTACGATTCGACACCGATCGATTCGACACAAAATTATTGGACACAGATTTATTCGACAGCAAATTATTCGACACCGTACGATTCGACACCA